ATGTATTTCTATATATTCTCTTCTTTCTCGTGTTTTTGATTTTCTTCTTGAAATATTTAAGCATGTGCAAATTACAATTGTTTGTTTCAAAGTTATACTAAAAACGATTGCTTTTATTTTATAATCTCGATTCATCGGAAGTTTATATAAATAAACTAAAACAATTATTTTATTATTAACAATGCGAATTTCTTTCTAATTCAATTTTTGATAAATTAAAAAAAATAATTAGATATTCTACTAACGTTGGTAGCTTTTATATTTAAGACAAAGAAAGATAATTAATTGATATATTTGTAACTCTAAAGCATTATAACATCATATTTATATTTGCTCTCATAATCCTATTGCTCATGGTTACTATTTTTGTTTGTTAGTTTCAGTATTTAAATGTATACTTTGTTTTAGTTTCTTTTTTCACCAATGAATGTAATCAGTCCTATGTTTCTTCAGGCTGTATCATGAACAGAGAGATATTTAAACTATCGATAAAACCTCAACCATTTCTCGTGTCATAATATTATAATCTCTTCTTTTATATTATCTACTTTCAATCTTATCAAAATTATATAATTCTACAAAAAGGATATGTCATCATCATTATTTTCTTCTTCTTCAACAACATTTTTCTTACTAAAAATAAATAAAAAAAGTTTTGTTCTTGAATAAATAATCTTTTTGCGTGAATATAAATTTTATTATTATTCCATAAAGATAATTGAAAGAGATTGATATAAATCTCTACGATTTTAATTGAAAATGTAAACATAAATATATTCATATCAGTTAAATCATGTGAAGAGATGAAGTGGACGAAGAAGAATTCGTCGAGAAGTTTCTTCTCTTTATTAAGCTCATGAAGAAAGATTGTAATGGATCGAGGTCCATAAAAAGTCACATGGTAACATAAGCACTTGATGTACGAAAGAGAAGCAAAATATGTACGGGAAGAAAGAAAGATATAACTATGTAACAATAGCCATTATCAACAGTCAGTTTTTGTAGATTATGTAAATTCACATGGAAAAAAGTCTAATGAAATATTATTCTATTCATTTCATATAAGTATTTTCGAATAATATGCATAGTTTGATTTGTTTTGTTAATGATGTATTTAAGTTAAACAAACAAATAACTTATGCTATAGTTTGGTTAAAATAATAAAAGTATCATGTAGAAATGTATTTTTCTCTAATTTTCATTATCTTTTATTTCTGTTAATTTTAACAGAAAAAAGGAATATTTTATTAATCAATATTATTAGGAATATGTTGAAATTATAAGAATATCTATGACAAATATATGAAATATCATTTAATTTCATTTGTTTATCAACACATAATACATATACATACACATATGAATAAAATCAAAGAAAGAAAATTTAATCGAGGCCATAAGAAAAACAGAGGAGGAAGAAAAGATGTTAATGTATTTGATATCTAAAGAATATAATTTAGATGAAAAGACGGTTTTTACATTATTTATTCCACCAATGATTGATATATTAGCTGTAGTTCTAACAACCTCAAGCATTCAGATATGAAACAAGATTTAGTATAATTCTATTGATACACGCACATAAATAAGAACAACTGTTTTAACATAACTTGATTTAGATGAGAAAACATTTAGTTATTTTATTATTGAAATAATTTATTTAAATATTCACACAATTGATCTTAATATTATTTTCTAATTAAAAAACTGTATTTTATTTACTTTACAATTATTTTCTATTTCATTCTTAACTATTGTTCAGATTCTCATTCTAATAATCATTCAGATAATTTTATAGCTATTAAAAATATTGAATTTACTGTTAATATTATATAATATTTTTTATCTTTATTTAATTTAAACAATCTTGTTTAGAAAATAGCATTCAATATATATCGTATAAAAAAAGAGAAAATTTGATTTCTTATTACATTTCTATGAATTAAAATATATTTTTTCTAATCTTATGATAGAATTTGAGGAATTTTATTTATAGAAAAATAACGAATATTTATTCAATGATTGATAAATAAAAGAAAATTCGAAATAAAACAAACTTATAGAATTAAGAAAAAATTCAAGTTCTGTTGTTCTATAAATATTGCTATATATATCTAATATCCTACAGGGGTCGGAATGTGATGGTTTAATAATTTTTTAGTATTTTTAAACTAAAATAATAACATTAGATTATAATTTATGAGTGAATTAGAATTATCGAATCGGTTTTTTTACTAAAATAATGAAAAATGTAAAGTTGTTTTTTTGACCTCCGCCATTGCATTGTGAGTGAGTCATTATTGAACGACGTTTTATCTTTTCTTTTCTTTTCATTCTTTTTCTTTATTTGCGACACGTACGATACGATTCAGTCCTAATTTATTCTATAGGACAAAATGTTGACGAGATGTTTTTCTCTTTTTACGAGAAATTCTGTCTATTGATATTTCTCTGGTTATAAGCCCATAGAGTATTCTTATATTTAATCATATATTCTTATTTTGTTATAGAATAATTCTTTGTCTTCACTTTCAATATAAAATAATAATATAAAATATGCGTGAAATCGTTCATCTTCAAGCTGGTCAATGTGGAAATCAAATTGGTTCTAAAGTAAATAGAATAAATATATGTATTTTATATAATATTTTTATTTTAGTTTTGGGAAGTTATTTCTGATGAACATGGTATTGATCCAACAGGAACATATCATGGAGATTCTGATCTTCAACTTGAACGTATAAACGTTTATTATAATGAAGCAGCCGGTAAATAGAAAATAGAATAAAAAAATTTTTATATTAGAATTTGTTTTGTTTTAGGTGGTAAATATGTTCCACGTGCTATTCTTGTTGATCTTGAACCAGGTACAATGGATTCAGTTCGTAGTGGTGCATTTGGTCAACTTTTTCGCCCGGATAATTTTGTTTTTGGTAAATATATTTTACAACGTTTTTTTTATATCTTTACTTTTAAATCATATTAGGACAATCTGGCGCCGGTAACAATTGGGCTAAAGGCCATTACACAGAAGGCGCCGAATTGGTTGATTCAGTTTTGGATGTTGTACGTAAAGAAGCTGAATCATGCGATTGTCTTCAAGGCTTTCAATTGACACATTCACTTGGTGGTGGTACAGGTTCTGGAATGGGTACTTTACTTATTTCAAAAATTCGTGAAGAATATCCAGATCGTAAATTAATAATTATTCATTAATAAATAAATACATATATCTATTTTTTTTAAGGTATCATGATGACATTTAGTGTTGTCCCATCACCAAAAGTATCTGATACTGTTGTTGAACCATACAATGCAACATTATCTGTACATCAACTTGTTGAAAATACAGATGAAACCTATTGTATAGATAATGAAGCATTATATGATATTTGTTTTCGTACACTTAAATTAACAACACCAACATATGGTGATCTTAATCATCTTGTTTCAGCTACAATGTCAGGTGTAACAACATGTCTTAGATTTCCAGGTACGAAAAAAAATATTAATCTTTAATTAAGAAAAACAAAAACATTTTTTTTTTCTATTTAAATAGGTCAATTAAATGCTGATTTAAGAAAATTAGCTGTTAATATGGTTCCATTTCCTCGTCTTCATTTTTTTATGCCTGGTTTTGCTCCATTAACATCTCGTGGTTCACAACAATATCGTGCATTAACTGTACCTGAATTAACTCAACAAATGTTTGATGCAAAAAATATGATGGCTGCATGTGATCCACGACATGGAAGATATTTAACAGTTGCTGCAATATTTCGCGGTCGAATGTCAATGAAAGAAGTCGATGAACAAATGTTAAATGTACAAAATAAAAATTCATCTTATTTTGTTGAATGGATTCCAAATAATATTAAAACAGCTGTTTGTGATATTCCACCACGTGGTCTTAAAATGTCTGCAACATTTATTGGTAATAGCACAGCTATTCAACAATTATTTAAACGTATTTCGGAACAATTTACTGCTATGTTTCGTCGTAAAGCTTTTCTTCATTGGTATACCGGTGAAGGAATGGATGAAATGGTAATGAAAGAATTTTTTGTTTTGTTGAGAATTCTAATTATTTTTTAGAGAGTGAGAGAGTTAGTTTGCTAATAACATATTTGATTTGAATGATATTCTAAAATGATTTTTCGAAAAACATTTAGAAATATACCATTCAGCGATTCCAACGATCGAATAATTTAAATAAATATTCAAGCGCATTTATTGCCGGATAAAAATAGTTTGGAATATTCCAGTCATCGACGGCGATACACTACTACTAAAGCATTTTTTTCTGGGTCCAATAATTAGCAATCGATATAAAATTTCTACTTTTACCTTTTTTTACTCGTAGGAATTTACTGAAGCTGAATCCAATATGAATGATCTTGTTAGCGAATATCAACAATATCAAGATGCTACAGTTGAAGGTAAATTGAATTTATTTCTTTTATTTTTGTTCTATTTTTATTTTTATTTTAGAAGAAGGCGAAGGTGAAGAAGAGGAAGAAGAACGTGCATAAACGACGATTCCAATGGACAGAATTATTCATTTTTTACATAACAATACATCCTTCTCTTCTTCTTTTTTTCATATACTCAACAATTTATCTTTGCAATTGAAACTATATATCATTTAAACATAGATTTCTATTTGCAGACAATATCTTTTACATCTTATTACTCTTAATTAAAATTCAAATAAACTTTCTTTTAAAAATTATCAAAAAAAATATATAATCAAATTCATTGAGAGAATACGAAGATAAATAAAAATATTTTCAAATAAAAATTCGTCTAATCAATTGAAAAATATTCTTATAATAAAATTATCAAATACAAAACTGAATAAATGTAAAATTAATTCTTTGAAACATTGTTCAACTATAATATAAAAATAAAATAACTAAATCAAGTTATCTTAAAACAGTTCTTGTTAATTATGCACGTGTAACAATAAAATA